TGATATACTCAGTCGGAAGAATTTTAGTACAGGGAATTTAGGTAACTTTAGTCTACTGAACAGTTTTTCTAAATTGGTTTTAAATTTGTTATATAATGGTTAATACACAAAAATAGTACCATCATTTGAATTGTTTATTTATATTGCATATTTGTTAGAAACAATTTAATTAATTAACATTTTAATAATTGTAATTAATATATATTAGTTAGAAACATTTTAAGCCCCACAGTTAATATTAAGTTTTTGCTTTGCATCATCAGAAATGTAATGTTTGCATATTTAAGTCATTTTACTTGAAGTATTTTATATTTTTAATTTTTTAAGTTATATTTCTTTTAACTTTATAATCCTTTCCAAGTACTTGTGTGTAAATAATCTTAAATCCTCAATTCACATCTGATACATGGCAATAAAAGCTGCATTTGAAAACAATCGGATGTTGCAAGCAGCACAGATGAACTTGTTGGTTCACTTTCCATGCCAGGGGGAGCCTCAGGGAAATATGCATTCAAGTAGGCGACTTCACAAAAACTGTACCACTGTATTCTGACACAGTGGCATCCTGGCTGTGGTGCCGTGTGAATAATTTGACATCTCCAGTCGTGCTGCCTACATATGGGGGTGTGCAGTTTCACCTGTCAGCTCGAGGCGTTTTCATTACTTGGTCATCAGAATGTGAGAAGCAGCCCAACGCAGCTTTCTGTGGGTGGATCTGTGGGAGTAAGACAGTGAAGGAGACAAATACAAATTCATCAGTGATACAATCAGGAAAGCAGAGTGCAAAATTAGAAACTCCACAACTTTATTGGGTCTCCAGGAAGGGACCAGTAAATATGGAGTTTGGCCATTTTCATCATCTGTAAAGAAGGTACAGACTCCAGGGAGACTGCCTACACCTCCCATCACCCCCTCTGACAGGAGGAGCAGGGGTGGAACAAGCGTTCAGAGTTCAGACATGTGAAACACAGTGAGGAATGACTAATGTACCTGTGGAAGACAAAGGTGAACTTCATGTCTGTGTGCTTCATGTCTTCATAGCCTTTTGTAGCCTTTAAAACACAGACTGTATATAGCTCACAGGTAAGATTTAGCAGCATTAAGAGAATACACACATTGAATGTTTTTGTTGAAAGTCCTTGTAAATGTTAGACAACATAACATATGTTTGACCCTGTGTAGATTTTAATTATTAAACATTTTAAGATTAAAAACTTAAGATAACATAACTTTTTCAGTGTATGACATAAATGCTTTATATTCTTGTAAGTGCAAGGTTATATGCACCTCCACTATAGTTCATTTCCACATCCCAAGCACTATCCTTGACACAGCTTCATTAGCTCTATGAACTTGTTCATTAGGCCTATTTGAATCAGTCACTAAATCATTGAATTACCTTGGTTTTCACAAAAGGTTCACTTCCTCCACACAGATCTGTGAGTGGGTGGGTGTCATTTCCAGGCATGTGCAAAAGGCAAAGATGGAAATAAATGGTTAACAAATACAATTATATATTAATACAATTATTATGTATTATATTAATACAAGTATAAAACATAGGTTATCTAGACTAAAGCTACCCTATTAACACACAGCAGACAAACAACAGATTTTATGAGGGCAGGTCCACTAGGCTATGAAACAAACTGCACTGGACTGTGAGCAAATTGAGATAATAAATAAATAAATAATGAAAGAAAAAAAAAAAAGATCCCGATTAAGTTTCTTGTTGTGGTTACATTGTTAAATGGCTCCATCTTAAGGCGATGCAGGATACTGCGGGTTCTACTCCAAAATGGTGAAGAACAAGAAGGAAACTGCATATATATATATATATATATATATATATATATATATATATATATATATATATATATATATATATATATATATATACACATACACACACACACATATACAGTTGCTTACAAAAGTCTTGTCGCTTATCCATTTTGTAGAAACAAAAGCTTATAACCTGACTTTAAATTAATCGATTGGTTTTAGAAATGTCTCATATGAAAGCTAAAACCCTCCCAAATTATACTCAATATACTAAAATAAATTTGCTTCAATGAAGAAAGATTGATCATTTAATGAACACAGAAAGGTCAGATTTTGGCAAGACAAAAGTCTTGTCGTCTTGTCATATGATGCACCCAATCCTAGATTAGAGCCTCACCTGTGATCAGTTACTGATCAATCAATTAGTGGGTGTGTATAAAAAGAACCCCAGCTCACCAGACCTTCACATCAATTGCAACTTGACCTCTGACAACATGCCTAAGATCCACCCTGAGACCAAAGCGTTAATTATCAAGAGGCTGAAGACCAGATCCACTGCTGAGGTGGTGACACCTTCAATGTGTCTCAGCATCAAGTACAAAGAATAAGAAAAAGATCTGAAATGACTGGAGATGTTTTTGACAAGCCCAGGTCCGGCAGACCCCGCAAGACAACTGCTCGGGAGGACCGTTTGTTGATTCAAAAATCCACGGCCCCTTTTCCACTGCAGCAGACTCCACCAGACCTGGTCACCTCAAGTCCCTGTGTCAACCACAACAGTTTGTAGAATTCTGTCTGGAAATGGTCTCCATGGTCGAATCAGTGCACAGAAACCAGCACTAAACAAAAGACAATTAAAAAACCATGTGGCATTGCCAAGACCCACAGCCTGCTAAAAGGATGGACTCTGGAAAACTGGCAGAAGGTGGATTTCTCAGATGAATCCTCGGTTGAATTACATCACAGCCGCCGCAAATATTGCAGGAGACCTACTGGAGCCGCATGGATCCAAGATTCACCCAGAAAACAGTTAAGATTGGTGGTGGAAAAAAAATGGTCTGGGGTTCCATCCAGTATGGGGGTGTGTGAGACATTTGCAGGGTGGAAGGCAAATATCAATAACCTAAAATATCAAGAAGTATTAGCTCCTCTTACATTCCCAACCATAAAAGGGGTCAAATTTTGCAGCAGGATGGTGCTCCATCACATACTTCTATCTCTACATCAAAGTTTCTCAAGGCGAAGAAGATCAAGGTGCTCCAGGACTGGCCAGCCCAGTCACCAGACATGAACATCATTGAGCAGGTCTGGGGTAGAATGAAAGAGGAAGCATGGAAGGCAAAACCAAAGAATCTTGATGAACTCTGGGAGGCATGTAAGACGCTTTCTTTGCTATTCCTGATGACTTCATCAACAAATTGTATGAATCATTGTTGAACCGCATGGATGCGTCCTTCAAGCTCATGGAGTCATACAAGATATTAAATATGGATCTCACAGCACCACTACTTCATTCACTGATGTTATGCAACATATTTTTGTATTTGAAGTAAATTATTTGTTCAATTTTCTGTAGGCGACAAAACTTTTGTCTTGCCAAAATCTGACCTTTCTGTGTTCATTAAATGATCAATCTTTCTTCAGTGAAGCAAATTTATTTTAGTATATTGAGCATAATTTGGGAGAGTTTTAGCTTTCATATGAGACATTTCTAAAACCAATCGATTAATTTAAAGTCAGGTTATAAGCTTTTGTTTCTACAAAATGGATAAGTGACAGGACTTTTGTCAGGGACTGTGTGTATATATATATATATACACACACACAGAGAATACAGGGTACAGCCAGTGTTGGGGAGTAACAGATTACATGTACCGGAGTTACGTAATCAGAGTACAAATGACGAGTAACTGTATTCAGTTTCTGTTTCAGTGAGTGGTAATTAGATTACAGTTACTTTCTTGAAATAAATGGATTACATGGCGGTATTTTCCTGTTTTCACATTTTGGGCTAAACCTGGACTAAAACCAGGACTAAACCAGGACTGAAACAACTAAAACCAGGTCTAAACTAGGACTTAACTAATACAATATGACACTAACATTAGGGTGGACATAATTGCGATCTCATATAAAAATCATTTCTCTATAATATTTTTAATCTGGTCAAGTAAAGACTGAACAAACATGAATTTTCAGGATGTGGTTGTTACATTCATGTAGATTTAAAACACATGACAATATCAAGTAATCCAAAGTATTCAGATTATGTTACTCACTTTAAGTAATTTAATGGATTACGTTACAAACTACATTTTGGGGTATGTAATCTGTAATCTGTAGGGGAATACCTTTGAAAAGTAACCTTCCCAACACTGGGTACAGCAACCTTTTCTTTTTAGGGATTATTTCGTGTCTTAACGTAAATAAATACAGGCTTGTTTAAATATTGTTTTCTATGAGGTCTATAAACAATTATAACTACCTTCTCCTCATATGGTTGTCCTGGTAACCACCTCTCCCTGTCTCCCTGGCAACAGTCTTCTTTCTCTCTCCTCCATTCTTTCGGTCAGCTGACGACCTGCACTTCCGGTTCGTGTATGATATCAAACTGAGGGACAGATGTAAACAGAGTTTTGCTTTTTGGTGTTTGTTCTATTTTCCCTTTCCTATCTTCTTTACCTCCTCCTCGTCTTCTTTTCCTCGGTCCTTGGCGCGCGCCCCAGGTGGCGGTAGCGCGCACCCCTCTGCGGCACATTGCAAGCGCTCAGCTCGGTTCGTATTTTTATTGTAGGCTGTTATTTTCTTCCTCCATCATTCTTATTTTCCACCCCTCCCCACCCTGTTTACCGCATTTGGAGCGATGTGCGTACCTACATTTGTCTCTATTTTGATTGCTCACTTCCAACGGGGTTTTCCTTCGTTTTCTTTTTGTCTCCCTTTTTGTCACTTGTCCAGTCGTAGCTTTTACGTGTTTGTTTGTTCGTAGGCACTCGGCTATTTTTAGAAAACTCATTTTGTTTTTTCTCCTGTCCCTATTTGTTCTGCCATTCGTATTTCGCATTCATTTCCCGCGTGTTGTACTAATTCCCCTTTCTCTATGTATCATGTAAAGACGTGTTCGGTTCGCTTCGTCCTTTTCCGCCCGTTTCCGCTCGTTTCTTTCCTCTTTCCTCTCTCTCCTGTCCTTTCTCGTCTCCGGTATATTTCTAATCATGGTCCAAAAGTCGCGGAACGGCGGCGTGTTTCCCGCATCACAGAACGACCAGAAGAAGCTCAAAGTGGGGTTCGTGGGCCTGGAGGGTGCCGTGGCGGAGACGAGCAGGGACGGGGCCCTCCTCATCACAGGTGTGTGACTGACGCCTGGAAAACTAACTCACTCATGTAATCCACAGATTTAGTTTGAGAAAGTGTGATGTAATTACTTATAGGTCTATTTGTATTATTACGTGGCATAATAATTGCTTTTTGATCAAAATTTGTATTATCTTATTTAAGCCTAGTATTCGGAATACATGTACATAATTTGGCAGATTTGAAACCAAAAGTAGTAGGTCTATCCATTGCCATTGGTAATGTCTCACTGCACAGATACTCTCACGGAACATCTTTCCTTTTTGTACAAAGGGTTCAAGAGTAACTGTACTCATGTCTTATCATTTGATACTATAGGCTACCTAACATTTATATAGTGCTTTTCCACCAGAACCAAAGAAGCCACTTGAATGAGTGACAAAATGTCTTCACTGCAAAACTTTTGTCCAGTTGATAGAATTGAATTTTTCTTTTGCTATGGATCATACCTGAACAACTCAGGGATTATACAGACATTTTTTTCAAGAAAGTCCATGATGCTTTAGTTGAGGACAACAAAAACACCAAACAACATGCCACTGTGTTACTAGAGCCACTCAGTGTTACTCAATAATTGCTTTATGAACAATCAACAGTGTAGGTTACATTTTGCCTTATGTCTGCTCAGGTGTGGAGGAGGGCCCCCGGCGACAGCGCACCAGTGTGTCAGGAGGGAAGAAGCCGGTGAAACGTAATGCCATCTACAGACGCCTGCAGAACTTTCTCTACAATGTGTTAGAGCGCCCTCGAGGATGGGCCTTCATCTATCATGCATATGTGTAAGAACACTTAAAGAGAACTTTACTATGGACCCTACCTACGAGGATGACTGATGGATTACACAGACCACAAAGATCAGTTATAAAGTCTTATTTCAATTAGATTTCCCAAGACCAAGATCAGTGAGTGAGGTACAATGAATAGTAGAAAGGCTTAAGCACTGGCACATTAATTTGATTCTGGATTAAACTAAGAAAACAAAGCAAAGGCCTTGACTTTAGTTGTTTTCTCTTGTATATTGTTGATGATTATTACTGCAGTGACGCTGCAGTGTTCGCCTCTCACAGATGACTCACTGAGAGAGCACAGTAGCAGCGGAAAATAAAAGCTGGCAGGTGTCACAAGTTTGAGCGACGTCCAACCAAACCTCCGAGGACGGGCTCAAATTCTGCTGCAGCAGCATTGAGTCCCATCCCACGTTTATCAGTCTGCACTGACAACAGTCTTTATGTTACCCTTTTTAAAAATACTAGAGACTCTGTGATACTGGTGTGTAAATGAAATAACCTTGACTTGTATATGAGACTCTGAGCACACTTTGTACTGTGTTATTGGCAGGTTTCTGCTGGTCTTCTCCTGTCTTGTTCTGTCAGTCTTCTCCACCATCAAAGAATATGAGAAGAGTTCAGAGGATGCCCTATACATTTTGGTATGTTTTCTATATTTATTTTTCTATAGGCATTGAAAATATCCTGGCTCCAACAAAAATGTGCTATCACCTGTGCTTTGCTAATATTTCTATCAAACCTCTCCATGTTTATATGCAAATAGATTGTTCTTCTTACACAATGGAGCTTGTCTGATATCTGAGAATTGCTTTACTTAACAAACCTTTTGTTTAGTTTGTTTTGTGTAGAGAGCTTTTCTTTGTGTCTTCTGACAGGAAGTGGTGACCATCGTGGTGTTTGGAGTGGAGTACATGGTGAGGATCTGGGCTGCTGGATGCTGCTGTCGGTACAGAGGCTGGAGAGGCCGCCTGAAGTTTGCCAGAAAACCCTTCTGTGTCATTGGTGATTTGAAAATCTCAAAATTATTTTAAGAGGTACAGTGGGTATAGGGCATCTGAAGTGAACTCATATTAAAAGTAAACCAGCTGATTTTGATGAGAGATAATCTACTCCATAAGGAGAGCATAAACATTCTAACAAACCCATACTGTTACTTGTATTTATTCCTCCAGACATCATGGTGCTGATAGCTTCTGTGTCGGTGCTGGCGGCAGGGACACAGGGGAATGTCTTCGCTACATCAGCGATCCGCTCGCTCCGGTTCCTCCAGATCCTGAGGATGATCAGAATGGACCGCCGTGGAGGCACTTGGAAACTTCTGGGCTCAGTGGTCTATGCTCACAGCAAGGTGTTGTTGCATTTATGGATTTTTATGGACAAATTATTGCTCAAAACATGGCTTTGTTAATCACACACTAGAAAATATATATCAGCAAAGACACTGTGATTCAAATAAATTAGTTGAATAAAATAATAAATGTTATTTAATAGATCATTTTAAACACTATATTAAATGTAATACACAAATGTAAAAAATAGAATTGCATTAAAAAGAAGGCAATAAGTACAACACATCTTGCCCTGAATCGTGTTGTTTCCTGTTGATGATAGAAATGTGGCTGAACACTGAGTGCACAGCCATTGTGAGGGACAGTAAGCAGTGCAGAGGTGTATTTATAGATGCTGATTCTGAGAGGTGAAAAAGATCAATAGTTATAATCAATAACAGATCAGGTGACATCTGCTGACAGGAAACAAGAGGCATACATAAAAGCCGTGTAGAAACCTCTGTCTGACCTCTTGGTAATGTATAGATCATGAATGTTATGCTGTATTTATCAATATTTTTAAATGCCATATAGTGTACCGTGTAGTGTTCATGCACTCAGCAGATGGTACTGGTTGCGGTTACATACCCACTCAAAATCTGATTATTATCAGATTTCTGGAGTTGTTTGTTTATTAAATTGCCTGTAAACACATCAGAATGGTTGTGGTTTGCATGTCATTTTAATAATACCACAACTCCAGAAATCTGATTTTACAAAACACTCTTAACTCTCAATCTGGCAGATTTTCTCTATAAATACACCTCTTCACTGCTTACTGTTTTGTAAACATGTGTTTTGTAAACACCACTGTACAAAACTTGTTCAAGGACATACAGATACAGATGTTGTGTCCTTCTCCAGTCACAAACATTTATTATGCTGGTTAGGTCAACTTGTTCTCTGTGGCAGCATCAAATAAACTGGCTGAGAAAAGTGCTATTTTTTCTGATAATTGTAATATTAACTACAGTCTACTGAACAAAACATAGTATCTTACAATGCACTGAATGCTTTTATTGATTTATAAATGCTGGTGTGTGCAGGAGTTGATCACTGCATGGTACATCGGCTTCTTGTGTCTGATCCTGGCGAGTTTCCTGGTTTACTTGGCTGAGAAGGAGGACAACGAGCAGTTTGAGACATACGCTGATGCTCTGTGGTGGGGACTGGTCAGTACCACTGTTTTGCAGCTGCCTACCAAGTAATTATATAGAAGACAAATTAGGAACATTTGACGCAAATCTGGTCTTGTTCAGATCACCCTGACAACCATCGGCTATGGTGATAAGTTCCCTATCACATGGAACGGTCGTCTGCTGGCTGCCACCTTCACTTTGATTGGAGTGTCTTTCTTTGCACTGCCTGCTGTGAGTTCACTATTCACCTACTTTTGTATGCTCTAAATCAAATACATACAGTTTTCAGCTTAGATGCTGGTTAATGGGTGATTGCAAATACGAATAATAATAATGGTGATAATAATAATAATAAATACATACAGTTTTCCACTATTTATCAGATGTGTGTTCCCAATATGAAATGACTAACAGTGAGCCTGTCTGTAGGGCATTCTCGGCTCTGGTTTTGCCCTGAAAGTCCAGGAGCAGCATCGACAAAAGCACTTTGAAAAACGTAGGAATCCGGCTGCTGGACTAATACAGGTACAGACAAGTACAATCATTAGAGTTAGAATTACAGTCTTATTAGCTCACTAAGAGTTGTCTTACAGGGCCCATATTACACTATTTTCTGATCTATGTTATAATGTTGTTTCCTCATCACAAACAGACCTGGAGTTTTTTTTTTTTTTCATTCACACTTGTTTAATGTACAATCCCTGCTTTTTTAGGCTCAATTATTCTCTCAAACAGAAAACACTGTTCCATCTTATAATGTCATGTGGTAATACTGGAAGTGCTCCACTGTGTTTTTAAACTCCTTACACCTTCAATAGAATCATTTGGATAAATTCAGTTTTGGAAATGCCAATATCTTAACAAAAGGTAAAAGGTGGCTGTTAATTTGAAAACTCTCACTACATGACATCACAAGGTGAAACAAAGCATTTTGAGTATTAGAGATGTAGATGTAGGAGATGCATGTAATAATAAAGGATAACTCGGAAATGTTGAATTAAACAAATCACAACTCCAGGTATGTTATTGAGGTAACAACATTCTAACATTTGTGTAATATAAAACATCAGAGGGAATGACCTATGCTTACACTGATTTGTGGTTGATTTTGATATATACAGGCAGCATGGAGGGTTTACGCCACCAACCTGACCCGTACTGATCTCAACTCCACTTGGGACTACTATGAAAGAACCACTGTCCCAATGTACAGGTACCGTTGATTTAATCCCACGGGCTCTGTCCACATGAGGACATTGTTATTCCAGAAAACCTCAACTTTTCCCATATTTTAACTACTTATACACCGTTGTAATATTCATGTATGTTCAGGTTGATCCCTCCCTTGAACCAGCTGGATCTACTGAGAAACCTGAAGAACAAGTCTGGTCTTTCTTTCAGGTTTGAGAGAGTTTTTGTTTGTCTGAGGCCTACACTAAGAAGACATTAAGACACGGTGTAAATGTAAAACAAGATTGCTAGTCATTGTAGAATGTCTTAGTCAACACCAACCTACATATTTCATTAATTTAGCTGGATGTGAGTAATGTGAGTTTTTGTTATACAGTTCTGTAAGGTCACACTTCTCTCCTGAGAGAATACCTAAACCCACTTAATTACAGCTCTAATGGACCGCAAGACGGGGTTTTATGAAGCACAGGAGCTGAAAAACAAATCAATGACCACTTACTGTCCAGTAGTGTAGGGCATTGTTCCTTATTCAATAAAGAACTATTCTCATCTGTCTCTGCCCTCTAGGAAGGACGTCCAGCCTGAGCCATCTCCCAGGTCACTGCTCACCACTTAAATTTTTAATTTGTCAAATAAAATATTTAGTTTTTGTTGCTGTTGTTAGATAGTGGCTACTGCAAATTATAACATTTAGGGGAAATAAACATTACACATCAAGTATATGAGCAGGATACTTATCAGAGAGCTGTTTTTTTCTCTGCAGTCAGAAAGTGAGTTTAAAGGAGAGAGTCTTCTCCTCACCTCGAAGCTCTGGGACCAAAGGCAAAGGCTCTCCTCAACATGGTAAGTGGAGAGAAAACTACAGCACTGGTGGGACACACATCGAAATACTCTTGTAAACATGTAAACACACACAATAATCATAATGCATCTCACGTCGACATTCACAGTCTCAGTCAGTGTCACTGGAACAAAAACTTTCATACAAACAAAGACATTTGTTTTACCCTGCTGCTTGCTCAGTTTTTTAATGCTTATATTGTTTAAATATGCTAAGAAGAAGTATATTATTCATAGTAAAATATATTTAACAACAAAGCTCAGTTGACAAAATGATGTACAGGCCAGATTTATATATATAGTATAAAATGTGTTATAGTTTATACATTTATGTATACAGATTTGACTCACTCAAAGCCTCATGTCTGTGGCCTTGAGTTTGGACTTGAAAAGTAACAAGGTTTGGTTTGTGGACCTTATGGAATGTATGAGGGAGATTTGACAATAAAGATGATTTCTTTCGCTCTGGTTGTAGTCCTGCCCACAGTGGGCCCAGGCGTGGGTCCTGATGGCCATGCGGTCTGTCCCGTTCTGGATCCAAACCTAGATGACAGTCCTAGTAAAGTCCCTAAGAGCTGGAGCTTTGGGGAGCGCAGCCGGACCCGGCAGGCCTTCAGAATCCGGGGGGCAGCATCCAGGCAAAACTCAGAAGGTGGGAGGGGCTTATACAAGTCAATCAGTGTTGTACACTTTGTACAGTTCAGTGTTGTACCCTCTACATTAAACATGCAAATCTTTGATGATTAACAAAAGGAACTATGTTTAATGTTGACCACAGGCACTGCATGAGTGCTCTGTGCAGGCCACATTCATTCTGTGTGTTGACTGTGTTCTGTGTAATGTTTTCAGTGACTGTGTGTTGTGTTATTTTTATTGTCTTGTGAACTGTTGTCATCATGTTGTCCCACTATTGGTCCCCGTTATAGACTAGTCTTACAAACAAACAGTGTTCTCTCAAAATTCAAAGGATCAGACCTTGTATATTGGCAGAGGAATGAATTAGGTGAAGAATTAAAGATGAGAAGAGAGAGAAGTAGAGGATGACAAATATGGACAGGTTGTGTTTATGTTTGTTTTTGGGTAGATGAGGCGGATACTAAAACTTCAGGAAAGACCGTTCTCTGTAGTTTGTACATATTATAGCTCCTTGTGTTAGTGCTTATGCTGTGTTTGGATGTGTCTGCTTACAGCTTCAAAGACAGCTGAGTCTTGTTGTAGTATCTGTTGCTTGTGTTTTGTGCCCCAAATTAAATTTTTCTGTTGCTAAAAAGTGTTTTTTTTAGAGGTGGATAATTGTCACGTCAAACCTGATAAATTCAGCTTGGATTACCAGATGAGGTTAGTTTTTGTGAGCATAAGCTGCAGACGTCCTGACAGTCCCTTTTTGTCCTCCTCTGCTTCCCATAGTGCTCATAGAGATGCAGGATGAAGAGTTCAGACAGAAGAGCTCGCCAGGTTAGAACACACACGTCAACAACACACTCTAACCAGATCTAACCTGTTCAGAGACTGGGCCAGAAGGAGGACAAATAGTCTCAAGTTTCTTGTCAATCTTTTACATTGGCAGACATTGGCAATGTAAAGACATCCCTTTTTTGTTTTTTCTGATTTTTATTTGTTTGTCTGAATGTATTTCAAATGTTACCAAAGTTACAATATCAATATCTCATGGCTAAAAAGTTGCAGGTGACCAAAGGTCCCAATGCACACACATAGAAGATATGCACCTTCCAAATAAATTAATCATTGGTATGGGATTAAGTGGTCAATAAAAGGGGTAATCCACACAAGCTACATAGTTGCATAGTTCCTTGTCATTATTGGATGACATAATGTACTGCATGTACCACGGTTACCAGCAAGACTACTTGTATGTCTGTAATGTAAAGTTGTGTGCTGTTGGTAGAGGCCAGTCTGCCTGGGGAGGACATGGCGGATGATAATAAAAGCTGCCACTGTGAGTTTGTCCCTCAAGACCTGACTCCGGGGTTAAAGGCCACTATCAGAGCCATTTGGTACAGTTCTCTCTCTTTTTCTCGTTTTGCACTCAACAGCATCATATGCCATGTTTTCTCATGCTAACTTCAACTTGTCTTTTGACTTCACAATAATCATTGTTCAGACATTGTATGTTGTTTTTCTTATTTTTCACCTGTACGCAAACTGGGGTTCTTAATCAATTTTTGTCATATTCAGCTTTGCTTGCCTTTTTCTGATCATTTAAATCACTTTATTTATGCTCACTCAGGACCAAAGGTCAGAGGTCACAGGTCAACGTGTGCAGTGGCATCCATTTTCTGTTGTTTCACTACTTTCAGTTGTTGGTAAGACATTTTTGTTGCTTGTTTGATTTCAAAGCACTTCAGTCTCAGATCCCAAAATGTCACTGGATTCAGTGTAAAACAGGAGTGTGCTGGGACCTGACACTGAAGTATATTTTACTTTAGTTGGCAGTTTTTTATTTATTGTGTAAATTCACAGTGTTACTGTCATAAACACTTTTGCTGCATTCTGTCATTCATTCATCCATTTCTCCCCAGCTTGTCACGTGTTTTATGATGGATTTCAAAATGGTTTATGTATTTGTATGTATTTTATAACTTGTATTTACTGTATCCATGACTGATCTGTAATCAAAGCAAATGTTATGACCATATGGAATTAAATCAATTCAAGAGTCAAAATTAGATATGAGGAATCCTGTGTACCAGTGTACACTTTATAATAAAGTAAAGAAAAGTTTAAAATATTACCTGTATCCACAGCATCATGCGCTTCTTGGTTTCTAAGAGAAAATTTAAGGAGAGTCTACGGCCATATGATGTGATGGATGTGATTGAGCAGTATTCTGCTGGACACTTGGACATGCTGGCCCGCATCAAGAACCTCCAGTCCAGGTAAGGATGAAGTTCAAACCATGAGCTTGTTATTCATGATTTATATTCGCATAAACGTGATGTCTAACATTCAGAGTGGACCAAATAGTGGGGCGGGGAACACCCATCACTGACAAGGATCGACCCAAACCAAATGAAGAGATGCCAGAGGACCCTAGCATGATGGGACGTCTGGGGAAGGTGGAAAAGCAGGTGACTGACATTATTATTATTAGTTAGGTTTACATGTGTTTCCATGACAACAGATACATTTTACATTTAATGGTTTATGATTCAGGTTTTGTCAATGGAACGGAAGCTGGACTTCCTGGTGAATATCTACATTCAAAGAATGGGGATTCCCCAGTCCGAGACAGACGCCTACTTCAGATCTAAAGAACCAGACCCAGCACCTCCGTACCACAGCCCTGTGGGCCATTTGGAGAAGAGCCAATCTGTGCCCAAGATTCTCCAGTAAGTGCCGCAAGGCTCTTTTTACACCTACATTGATCTAGTGGTCAATCTCCACCACTACGGACTGAAGGTTAAAGATGTAATAAAAATGTAATATAATAATACTACTACTACTAATAATAATAATAATGATAATAAGAAGATGATGATGATGATGATGATGATGATGAAAAAGAAGAACATATTTAGCATTGTATTATTTTAAATCTAGCCCTTTTTCTGACACCTGATAGTCTGATTGAGTTCTTGTTGTCTTCCAGGGTCAATCCAGGGGAAAGTGTGTCTTCTTCACGATACGTTTCAAAAATGGTTCGTTCTAGTAGCTCCACAGCTCAGCGCAGCTGCCCAGCACCCACTTGCCCACCCTCTACATCTTGGCAGCCAATCAGCAGCCATCTACAGCATGCTCCACCCCCCTGGCCACGCAGCCACGGTAATACTCCAAGCCCAGTGAGCGACTCACTGGTGAGGCTCCCCCCACCTCCTGCAAACACAGGGTCTCGAACACACCGCGACCGCAGCGAGAGGGGTGGAGTCAGCGGTGATGAGCAGAAACCTGACAGTGAATCATCTGTGTCTATTCCCTCTGTGGATCACGAGGAACTGGAGCGCTCTTTTAGCGGCTTCTCCATCTCCCCGTCACGGCCACGGTGTGCTACAGTTCGGCCTTACATCGCAGAGGCTGAATCTGACTCTGAGTCTGAACTGTGCCCCGCCTCCAGGCCCTCAGAGGGAAGACTGACGGACGAGACTAGAACACACTGAATTAAAGAGGGACACCAATCTAATGTAGCAAACAATCTCCTGGATTTAATCCCTCTGCCTAAAGACAATGACGTGTCACTTTTAAGGCATTCTTTTACTGCATTCCAGCCATCTAGTAAGTCACCACACTACATCTCTGAATCCTGCAAGTTGTAATTTTTTTGTTGTCAGAAGAACAGTATTTTAATATTTGGATATAAGCCTATAGACTTTCTGCCAAACGTTTCTTACACAACAGAAAAAACAAACAAACAATCCAATTATTTTAAAACTGTAAAAAGAAACACCAGTTACTGTTGACAGAAGTTTTTTTTTTTTTTGTCAAAATGTGGTACACTGTTCATCCAGACCATCTATCAGAATGGATCAACTTTTCACAATATATTGCAAATTGTGTAATTTCAGCTATTCACTATTGATTTATTCTTATTTAAACAAGTTGGAAGATACATGCATTTTATTGTAGCCTCTAAAAGCCATGATTTCAGAACTTTCAGTAGCTATCACCGTGGTATCTGCAAATGTAATAACTCTTTCCTGGTCTGTTCAAGAGATTTCACTGAAGATGGACATAAACTAAACTGAACTAAAACATAATATGTGGGCTGTACTTAATAATACACTCTTAAGTAAGCTTGTTCCCAGAGAGCATGTGGGCTATGGACCCCTGAATCAACTCAATTTAACCTTACAATTCAAATGCTGACAAAACGATGTGCTTAAGATAAAATGTTGCATTTAGCAAATTGTCTCCACTAAGATGGGAACTAGAAAATGTAGAAAAAAATATTTAAATGATCTGTATTATTCAGCATTTAACTTTTATAGCATGAATATAGCATAGAAATATAATGAAAAATTACATTTACAATGCAGCACAATATATCTTGTGAAACCCGAATAGCCCGATCCTACAGGAGTCAGAGCATTCCAAGAGCACAGGGCCCACTCCCAGTGTCGACCTGACCAGCAGGGAACTTTCAATTCTAAGACATCAATTTTTTTTATTTCCACAAAATGTCTGTGGTACAATTTGTAGACAAGATGGACACCTGGTGGTTCAAGGAATAGAAAGTCGTTCCTTTTGACTGTAGTTTGATCAGTAGTTTACACCAGCTGTGTTAAACAGTGCGCATTGATGGTTATGTTTAAAACAGATCTTCACTCATTCAAGAATTCCCTAGGCTAATCACTGCCCAGTCAACGCCCAGTGTTCAAATCCACCACTCAAATGTAAGATACATTAGAATGTGAGGGAATGGTCTGAACCAAAGCTCTGTGTTTTAACTGTCCAAAGAAAAGCCACTTTGTGATGCAAGAACCCCGTGATGGTGTTGAAAATTGTACCAATCCTCATTACTTGTATTCACACATGTATTCAAATTTACATTAAAACGTCAACCCTTTTGCTGTTTGTGGTTTATGTAGAATTATGTAAGATGTGCTAAGGATGTCTTGTGTATCTTATGATGAATCATAATCATATGCAGATACCACATTTACCTCCAAGTCAAAGTATCCTTTTATGACAGCAGAGGGCAGCACTATCAACAGCCTCTAATAAAAACACTCAGCCTTGCCTTCATCTGGCAGCTCTCACTCATTTGGACTGGATTGCACTAGTTGTTTTCTGCAGTCATGGCATCTGAAAGGGTAAAACAGATATATAACCTAATATAAAGACAAAAAAAAAGTTTATGCAGAATTATTTATTTTAGATATGACAATATCAAAGCATATGCACATTTAAAACCAACAAAAGGGATCTTTTGTCAACAAAAGATGGGAATGCATATTTGACTATTTACAGAATACAGTTAGACCAGGAGTACTCTTGTATTATACACATACAGTGAGAATAATACAAAAGTTACAAATAAATAAGCAATAACACCTCTTACAAATACAGTAAATAACTCAACTATCACAGTTGTACAGTTTCTAAGTAATTATTATCCTTTCCAACATCACATCTTCCATGTGAATCTTAAACATGAATACATCTCAGTACAAAAACCAATACTGATTATGTTTTTTTCATTTTAAGAATAACTGATCAACCAAGTACCTCAAACAAATGCGGACTAAAATGAGCAGAATAATAATGTATTCATAAAACATTGCCCTTTTAATAATAAGTGCATCTGGCTGACAGGCAGAGGAACACTCAGAGTTCCAGTGACAGGCGAAAGTGCTGTGCTCTTTGGGCCAGCTCTTGGGCAAACTCCTGAGCCTCGTGCACTGCCTGACGATCAGGGTAATGCAGCGCTGCCTTCTTTGTGGCCACAGCCAGTTGCTTGAGCAGTGCACACAAATGGTTACTTTTACACAAGAGGCTCTGGCGGAATTCTGCAGGCTGAGCCTCTTTGTACAGCGTGTTGACCAGCCTCTGTCCCACCATGATCACCAGTTTGCTCTGAGAGATAAACTTCTCTGGGGGTTGGCCATCCTGGAGACAGCAGACAAATCCTCCAATAGCCTTCTGTAAAGCCCCAAAGTACAGCCTGCAGTGTTCTGAGAGAGACAAAGGTCGCTGCTCATCGGTTTCTCCTGGAGCCTCTGACAAAGTGGGTTTCTTATCATTCTATGAAAACAATAGAATCTAATGTTAATGTAATGCAAGATACAGTATGGCAGCTTTACAGAACTCTTCCAAACATACATTAGCATTCATTAAAAAATATAAATATGCAAATAAACAAGCAGGTTTTAGAAAAACAAAGCCCAAACAAATAAACAACACATGAATGGTGCGTCATTGCTTTTGGGACTCACCAATACATTTTCCACTGGATCTTTTTTCACCTTTTGCTGGTTTTCAAAATCAGTCTTTGTCTAATAAAAAAATGGAAACATTATTAATATTGTATCAGTACTAACTGTAACCATACAAAATTGTTACATTATTCAGCTTCAAACAGGGTTCCCATAGTCATGGAAATCCTGGGAAAGTCATAGAAATTGAAAATGCCATTTTCCAGGTCTGGAAAAATCATGGAGTTTTGTAAATTCAGTGAAAGTTTTGGAAAAGTCATGGAATTTTAGTATGTCTTGTTTTAGTATGTCTATGTTTTAGTAGGCTATTATGATTATTTCCAAACGTATGCACCTTTTGTTTAAAACAGACAACACTAAATGCACTGACAATATTTTGAATGTTAAAAAAACTATAATATCATAAGGTGACTGGAAAAGGTTAACATTTCATATTTAACTCTAAAAGTATGCTAAATTGTACACATGTAAGGTGCCATAAAGTCATGGAAAATTCACTTTAGGTCATGACAATGTTTTGAAATTTTGTGAGTGAAAAAGAGTGGGAACAATGATCAAATCACCTGTAGTTCAACATAGTCATCCTCCCCCTCGTTCACATCCTGGTCACCGGTCTCTGGGCCTTTGGGTGGGCTTGATGCACCACTGTGTATTAGCTCTGATTCTTTTGGCTTAAACAAGAGCTTTCCATTTGCATTTATCATAGACACAAGCCTCTTCACATCTTCGGGAATGGTTCGTGCCACCATTACAAATCTCTCCAGCTGGTCTGGTGTTTGAGCTTGGCCTGTTTCTTGACTCAACAGGTCTAAAGTCCAGCCAGCTGCATTCAGAGCACTCAGTGTCTGCTGGAGGACAACCCCTGAGTCCTCCACCACACACAGCTGTTTGTAGAGTCTGGCCTGCAGGTTAGCATCTGTTAGTCTACGTGCATTGCTTTTAATGTCCAGAGCATAGTTGAGAAAACCGTTGAGTGATAAGGTGACTTCTAGAGCTGCTTCCCTGATCTCTTCCAAATGTTTCTCCATGTGGTTCTTGCTCCTCCAGCCACTGCTCACAAAGTTCATGATTTGGGCCACTGCTTTGCAAACCCCGTCCTGGAGCTCCAAAAGTTTTAAACAGACATCTTCCTGCCACAAAAGTACTTCCCTTAGAGGCTCTGGAGAAGGTGATGACAGTGCTAGGGAGTCACAAGAGCTGCTGGAGGAGCTGGAAGCCGTACTAATTCGTTGATTTTGATTTTGGTCATTCTCATCAAGTAACATAGACCCATGACCTGAATTAGTGTGCAGTGATGAACAAGCCTTCTTTCGATATAAAGGTATCTTGGTAGCTTCAGGAGGTTCAAACCTGCACTCTAGAGGGATGTGATCGTCAGACCGAAGATCATATACTGATTCTTGCACACTATTGAGTTGTCTTAAAGGAATTTGAGGTTTTGGTATTAAAGAGGGAGGGCTATCAACAAATCTGGCTTTTGGAACATTGTATAATAGAGGGGATTTTTGGTACTTTTGGACAAGATCTTTCCGTGTCGGAAGTGTGTCATACAGTTGCTGTTCACACATAAGTCTTGATGGACTCAGCTCAGAAATAATCTGAGGAGGACTTTGTCTGTCAGGACTCATCGGAACATCGTAGATCCACTCAGGCTTTTGCAGCAGAGGCAGTGTGCTGTGGCCACTGATGGTTGTCTTTTGTGGGTCTGTGACTGAGGGGATGGGAATATCATAGTTGAGGTGCTGCGGTGACTTGGGTGGAACATCATAAATCTGTGAGAAGACAAATAAGGTGAGTAAATTGTTGTTTGTTTGGATGAATTTGAGCATGCTCTAGAGTATTCTTCATAAAAAGCATCCTTGGATTTTTGACTTCCAGAATCAAACCACAAATACTCGTTCCCTGATAAGACTGTCAGTCATCATTTCCTGTTTGAAAATGTGCCTAATTCTTTAACGGATGGCTTACAAGGCTTAATGTCAATTCTAAATGTCTACTCTTTCTAACACTGCAAATCCACCAAACCTTTTGTTTTCAGTCATTCTGAATGCATGTATGCATGTGTATATCACTTTGACAGCAGAAAATGCCTTGATTGTTTAAAACTGTATCTACTTACCCAGACTAGTACAGAACTACACTAGCTTGTGCCAATGGCTGTATTATTGTAGCAGAAAAGAAATGTATATACTAAATTTTCAATTGTAGATGAGAGCTTTGTGCATGTCAACTCTGAAAAAAAAAGCATGAGCAGATCTGTGACAAATGTTGAACAAATCATACACTTACACAAGAGTCTTTCGATCTTTCACATTCAAAATGTCGAGCTGAGTCAAAACTTTTATGCATTGCTGAAATTTGCAGTGAGTTTTTACGGTATGACAACCGTGGGGTAGTTGATACCTACCAAAAGATAAGAACATTTGAGTTAGTATACAATTTTCATAGTGACCAGTGTCCTTGAACTTCACACAGACACTCACAGGGAAGAAAGACCCTCGTCTTCCTTGGTTCGGGACATCATAAAGCTCCCCTCTGGGCAAGGTGGCCATGTTGAAAGGCTACAAACAAAAATGGTAGACTATACTTTTTTAAAAGCAGTAGTCCCTCCATTCCTTTGATCAAAGTGTTATTTGCTTTTTTGACCTGTGCCTAGGACATTTATGGGGACAGTGTTCTTTCTGAAGCTTGCTGTAACCTGGAGGACCCTGCTACACATGGCCAATTAACACAGTTCTACAACCAAAACCATGCGTGTGAAGTGCAGAGGTACCTTATAATGGGATAGGCTACAACAGAGGGAGATGGCCCCCTGGTGTGCAACAGAGGAAATGGTGTACATGTGAGTGCATTCTAGCTTACTCTGTGCGACATGCCTCCCTACATACATTACTGTATTCTTTTAGTGGGTTGCTGGTTGTAGTAAAAAGTGTCTGAAGTTTGTCTGTGTGTGCGTTTTATGGCCTCATAAAGCTCCCGTGCTGCATGCCTGTCCCATTGAAGAGGAACCTGCTCACATCTGTAAGTGCTTTGACAGCAGGGGGCCACCGCACTGCTGTTCTGTACTGAAAGGGTGTACCTCGCTAGGAATTAACACTTGCCCGCTAACACATATTTCTATCTAAAATAAACCTGACCACAGTAACACTACTTTTTGGAGGTGAATCAGCAAATGGTGCAGTTAGTTTGGTCCAATGCATTGCACAGGTTTTAAACTAAACAAAATAATGTGTCTTATATAAACATTATGGCAAAATTGGAGAAATAACAATGACTAGTGTGTGCAATAAGTTTACCTAAGTCTATGTGAATTCTCCGTCTATAGAGACACAACTTCCAGCATGCACCGGAAATAAGAATCTATTATTTATTATCTTTGTTCCACGGTGAACCACAATTGTCACGTACACTTTGGCTGTATTTACCCTAAATATACGTCATATGCATTTAGAAGTCAGAGAAGCCATAGATGCAGATTACCTTTGTCAGCGTGTATATTTTAATAAAAGCAATATGTACCTCCCTGACCTGATTGAAGGGGATGGTGCTTTTGTGAAACTTTTGAAAGCTCCTGGTTTACCACTTGTTTCACGCTAACCCATTTCCACGGTAAAGATTATGATTCCCACACTTAAAATAACTACACTTTTCATTGTTTAATAAACCTTGAATGAACAAATACTTAATTAATAATGAAATTGTTAATACCTACTTACTTAAGTATTTACTAAGCCTGAATAATTCTTAGTAAACATTTCATTATGAATTAAGTATTTCACCATGGTTATTTATAGTATTTCTCACCTTGTCGCCCTCCTGTTCATCAGAGGCCTGCTTAGAAGTTGATAATTTGGGACTCGCTGACAGAGGAACAGATGGAACCTTATAGACTATCTCTGTCCTCTCTCCATTGCTGGGTTTGGGTGCAGTTGGTATCTGGTAGATGTTATGCAGACTATTGGTGCTGCTTTGATGGTTTGATGGTGGCGTTTTGTCCCTCATAGGCCCAAGGGTAGCAGTGGGAAATCTGGTGGTCGGCGAGAGGAGACGCAGACGGTTTGCAGGGACCAGACCTTGGCGCCCGTACAGCGAGCACAACCACCATCCACTGGTATCCTCCACGCTTTTCTCCATCACCACGAGGATGTCCCCCTTCCTAAAGGCCAGCTCATCAGAGCACTCAGCAGTGTTGTCATATAGAGCTTTGGCCAAGGTCATCTGATTCAAAAGAAACAAAGACAAAACAAAGCAATGAATTATAATGTGCAATTAAGTTAAGAGCAAAAGAAAAAGGGAAGCAAAGCAAAACAAAGCAGCAGCTGTATTGAAGATGAAGTTATGACAGTTTTATATAGTTTAAGTAGTCCATCAAGTACATACAATTGCACTTAAAATAAAATGGTTAAAAAAAAGAAGAAAATTCAGCACAGAGTAACTGCTGTTCTACTGATATAAATGAGGCACACTACATAAACAATATACACATTTCCAAACACAGTGTTAAAGCTACAATTCAAAATGGTGCTCATTAAAGTACACATTTGAACACAGACATGTCAAAGCAGTCCTTTGCCATTTTTCTGACCCCAATTTTTCTAAGATCATATCATTATTTTATTATGTTTGCATTGGGTTTAATAATTCATTAGAATGACCACAGGGCCTAATACAGAGCTAAAATAACACTTCCCACTTTACCACAGCAGTGACAATATTACTCAGTTTTTATATGATGACATTTGAGTGTGGTTTGAGTCATTTTGTGGTCTATTCCTCTCCAAGCACATGCCACTGCTGGAAGTACAACAGGATGCATGTATTATCATTTAGTGAATAACAGTATTGCATACATGTTTTAAGGGCAACAGACATCTCCAGCTTAGTTTAGGCTGTGTCATTATCTTTAGATCAGCTAATGTAGCATTTTGTGTGTATACTATATTTATATATAAAGTCGTATCATAGTATTGTGAAAAGATAATCTAATAGCCTTTCAAAGCAATTCCTAATTCATTGATGAATCCAGTTTGTAATGAAAATTGTAAGTAGTAAGGCAACAGTAAACATCAGATATCTCTGGTCTCAGCTGGGTGTGTTTGGGTGTATTTATGTAACAAAGGGCCCATTGACCATCAGAGGAGCACACGCTCTGCACCTGTCATGGCACAGGCCTGCCCTATAACACACACTCCCTGACTAATCCTGGACTCATGCACCCAGGGCTCAGATCAGCTACACCATCTCTGCTCTGCCCCTGAAATGCTGCACTTGATGACACTCACACTCCCTGTGGCCCACCATAGCAGAACTTTGGGCCTGGCTGAGAGCAGCAGCCTCTTCTTTTTGAGACAAGAGTGTGGCTGGTGGCTGCCACATGCCTGTGCAGACAGCTGCCTGTGCGGCACTTTGCCCGCACAGCTGTGTCCTCAGCCCATCTACTCTTCAGACACACTCTTCAATAACAAGAGAGCCTTTAACTGCAGCTTCAGTTTGTCTCTTTGAACACAATTCATTTATCAAACATGGATGGTACAATCCTTTTATTTATATTACTTAACTGTCCTTCTAATTGTCTTTCTAATTATTTTCAGTATTATACATTTCAAACTAACACAAGCCATCATCAATGTATGCCATATAAAATAGGCTATATTAAGTTTCACACAGTTCATGAACAATGCAAAAAAAAAAAAAAAAAGAAAAAAAAAGTGGCATATGTCTGTAGACTTTCAGGACTTTCTCTAACCTTTGACCTTCAGGAGCCATAAGGTGACCTCAGGGTGGGGACAAAACCTACATTTACTTTCAAGCACATGCCAGGACTGGAGCTAATCTGCTCCACACGACCATCACTAAACACGGCTGAGGTTCCCAGGCCCCCGGGATGACACACTTCACCCTGAAGTACTGTTTTTATATTCAGTCAGGAAATCAGTCTGTAAATAAGAGATTCAACATTCCCACAGTGTAGGGCTGTCACACAAGAATACACTCATCATATTACATATTTCTCAAAAGACAAAGAAAACAAATAAAATTGCACTGACTAGTTTAAGAGACATTGTCTAAAGTCATAAAAAAGTAATAAAAAGTAAAAGAAAAAGGGTCTTTTCAATGCTTTTTAGTAAATGCATTGTCTCATTTATAATATGGATGAAGTATATATAAAAAGTGAAGGTAACTCATAAACAAACAAAGAGAAAGCTGACCTGGTGGCAGTGACACTGACAACACCACAGTCCAGCATTTCCTGTCTACAGTGTCTGAGGATGATTTCCCAATTCTGACTTACATAGAAGACTTTAGAGGAAGAAGTCAGAAAAGCTTGATTAGAGATGGAACTTATATATGAAATATGATGTACTTTTGACATTTGAAGACATTTTGTGGGATGACAGCACAGTGGTTATAGATGAAACCGTCACCACAGTGCATACTTTTGTTATGTCTTTGGGCACGTGATGTGAGATTGGTGGAGCTGCTGTTGTAGATTTAAAGTAGCTTACTATAGGAGGAAGTATAAGTATAGTGAGGGACTCAGAGGTGTATTTCTTAAGGTTACTGTATAAGACTAATGCATTTAAATTATGTGTTTGTCATAGCAGAATGATTTTAGAAAATATACATATATATATATCCACACGCAATTTTCCAATTTGATTTGATAGTTTTAGGCGGGTAGGTTGGTAGGGAGAGTGCATATTTTAAACACGGGAGCATTTACATTTGAGAAAAAACTGAAACTACATCCCACACATTTCAGAACATGTTTGTAGAGGTTCAGCTTCAGAGTTATAGGGTTTTATACACTTTAAGAAACAGTTCCCTAAATAATTGCAGTGTTTGCACCTTTTGTCAAGCATGTCAGTTAAATCATTCCAACATTAGGAGAGGGTCATGGGAATGCAATGCCTAACTAACCCCATGCTCTTTAGTCTTTGATAATGCATGATGGCTCACTGCATGGTTTAAACACATTTCCTGTAGTTTTCTGGCTTTCTTTTTGGTTGTGGTTTTGCTTCACAGTAAACATTTGCTCCCTGACCACCACTGATACCACAGCACTGCTCTCGTAAAGTGCATATATAGAATTGCAATTTTTCTGACAAACAAGATTGCAATCAGACTTTAGCAATACTATTCTGTTCACAGTTCACACTTTAAATGCACCAGAAATAACTGACAAAAAAACTTACACAAACATGTTTGTACAGATAGAAATGTTAACAGTTTAAATGTAGCATTTGTATGCAGAATAAGACGAAATATTATAGAAATTATGGGGCTTCAAAAATGTAATTCTTTGCTATTTGCCAAATAATTGTGTCCATTCATATTATGATTTTTGATTGCAATAGCCCTCATGTTCACAGATTCTAAAAAGAAATAGCCTGAAATAAAATTACATCCAAATAAGGTATGGATAGTGGAAGTGAGATTGCTTAAAGAAGCAATTAGTCATCATGGATTGTAAGAGTTTCAAGAAATAAAAGAGATGCGCATGCGATCTGTGCTTCTCATGGGAAACTGTCAGATGAGGCATTTCCTCCCTCTGATGGCTCATCTGCTTTAAATAGACCTCATGATGAGGCTGGACAATTTTTCACCCTGTCTCAAAACATACTTACATCAGGGCACTTGGACAAATGGACAGAGACGAGAAGAATACTTCGAAAATGTACTTAGTTACAAAATACTGAATACCTGAAGAAAAAGTATTTACTGTATTCTGAATACTTTGACTTTTACAAAGAGTTGCATTTAAATGATAAGGTAAAAACATGATGTATAATTAATAACAGCAATTTTTTTGTTTTGTGTCAAAGGTAAACTATGTAACTTTTTGGTTGTGGGTTCGTCACCTGCTTGTTTCTACGGCTATGTCATTGTTCTCCCTAGAATGTTCCACAGTATGAATAAATGTAAGGTAGAGCTGTTAATTGCAGGTGGTTTTATAACTCAAAAATACCTAGAAAAATATCCATTCTGACTGTAAGCAGGGTGGCCTCTCTCCACAGATCTGATCTGTAACTTGGTCTGGTTTGGTCTCCATCAAGAAAAGTTTAACACCATACTGTGAAACATTCCAGACAACACAATAACATCTCCATGGAGAAAAGCATTTGACAGGCTCTCCACCAGAAAAGTCACACAACACACCTTATATCTAATTAGAGAAGGATAAATCACATGCACACATTACAAGAGTGATTGCTTGCTTTTTCTCACTAATACCATGCACATCAAAGTCAAAATTGCATGATCAATTATCGTCATGTATTTGTTTCGATTTTATTTATTCTGAATACCACCAAATGAAAAAGTAACTGTACTGGAATACAAAATTAGTATATAAAAATAAATAATATAAAAATTACTTATAAAATACTGCTAAAGTAGGAGTAACCCTCTAATGTTCTTGTGATACCTCAAATAACAGTAATGACAGTAACTCGTCAACAATTTCAGCCTATGCAATTAGGCTGAAGTGTAGTAGCTCGTAGGAGAAGGACTGGTCCACAATGTTAATGACATAAGGAGCTTATTTCTAAAGAACAGTGTTAATGAGGCTCATAAAGTTCTGGTGCAGATCAGAGCTCTCCAGTTACAGCCTACAGCTCTGCAAGGAACAGAGCTGACAGAGCAGGTAACAAAGTACATGAAAGTGGCTTGTCTATACAATCAAACTCTATTATAATACAAGGGGAATAAATTAGCTTATAAACTATATCAAATTTCAGTATAACATAAGAGAAAGTACTAGTTCGAAACCATAAGTCATGATCTTCAGTTCCATCACCATTACTGGATGAGAATAAATGCAGTTATATTAGCATGCAAAGATCTCTCTCCACACCAGTTGCCTTGGGGGGGGGGGGGGGCCTTTCAACATTATAATCGCTGACAGAAAATCAAATAAAATCAACACACTTTTGACTAGAGCCAAATATGAATTCTGTTGCCCACACTCTTAACACTGACCCACTTTGCACTTCTAAATGTGAGTTGCATCGTGAAGGGCATTTCACTTTTGAACTGTTGCAGCAATAATAATTTTAAAACTTTTAAAATAAAAATACATTTATCAAACATCACAAGTGCTAACATCACAGAACAGAAGTACAAAGTATTAAGAAAATGTTACTAAATGGTACTTACTACTTAATGGTAATACTCATTAAGACAACGTGTTGTAAAGCTTAGAGATAGTAGTTGAATAAGCTACACTCACCATGTTTGCTGTGGATTCACAAAGCTCAAGTATAGATCCTTCACAGATGTTATAGACTCCTACATAGTCACAGTCAGCTTTAGTGTACACTTCACTAAAGAGCCTGGTTAAGAATGTCTGTCACTAAAAAGCAGAGCGGGGGTGGGACCAAAAGCCTCAGCGCTGCTTGGCTGATGATCACATTTCCTTCACAGGTCCCTCCTACTTACCCGTAATTTGCCATGCCACTGTTGTCTTCCATCACTTAGATTAATAAGCAGAAGTCACGGTGGCTTACTTTTCCAAATAAACAGGGGGTTTTGTGTTTTATTCTTACTTCCTTTTTTATTAACTAAGCCAACTTCTAATAATGTTGCTGCCTTGGTTTAACAAATCAAATACAAAAGTAGTTTTTTTTAATGCCTTAAGTGAAAAAACAGAACCAAAGAATACCAAACATTCTGTAGATAGTAGACTTTGGAGCTCTTTGAAACACATTTTCATCTATCATAAACAGTTCATGTTAATAAAATAATTTTGTCCAAAATTTTGGCAGAATACTAATATGTTACATTCTCAAGTAAAAAAGAAAAAATAGCAGTAGACACAGAAGTTATAGTCAATTATTTTGTTTTTGTTTTTTGCACAAATTATGAAAGCCAAAGGACAGATTCACCTTCACTTGAGTTGTAGTTTTTACTGCAGTTGATGGGGGTTGTTCCAGGATCTGATTCTTGCAGCTTCAATGGGTGTTGTCTGGACAACACAGGCTGCGGTGGTCCCTAGGAGAGGCTGCTGGACTGTGGGAATGCAAAGGGTGAAGGCATGCTGACCCATATGTCTTGAGTTCACTCTGCAGACATGTTTGTGTTGTAATTAAGCCATTTACTTGTGTTTTTGTCATTACTCAGAGAAGTTTATATAGTGCCTTTAGAAAAACACACGGCTTTTAAAAATCCATTACCTGTTCCCACCAGATATCAAGTAAACATGATTTTATTATTTCAATTACAAAAACACCTAAGATCAGTTATGTTTATTGCATGATACAGCTACATCCAAAATCTGTGTTATTTTTATTTTTTTTGCTACAGTAGCAAAACTTTAATGGCCTACTAGTAAGCTATAGTTGTTGTTGAGTGACACATTAATATACAATAATCTTACATAATAGATTCAATATACACTCTAGTTATCATTTGTTGATAGCTAAATAATTAATGTAGATGAAGGAATGAACACACAAATAATTAATTGAAGTGAAGTGAAACCATTCCAAATTCCTCTTTAGATGTTTATTAAAAATTATATCAATAAGACATGAACAAAATATAAAAGTGAAACATTTACAGTCAATTGAAATCACAAATTAGCTTTTCTTCTCTTTTTCTTCTCAAAACAATTTGGGAAGTTGACCGATTTAAAAAAAGCCAGAAGAGATGGCTCAAAAGCAAATGTGTCCTTGGTAACTGAGGCTCAGTCTGTGGTAGTGCGGCGGTACCAGAAGCGTGCTCTGAAGTCATCACTGCAAGTCATGAATCCAGGGTTGGTGGGTGAATGCACAATGCAGCGCACGATGTTGTTGTGTCCCAGAGACAGCAGATTCTTCCTTTCTGCAGTGCGTGAGTCCCAGCAGCATAGGCTGATGGTGCGCTCGTCAGGCAGCAGCACATAGTCCTCTGTGTGGTTGAATACTCCCTGAGTACGGTGCATCTGACGGCCACTCAAGCCCGCGCCTGCAAGACAATAACAGGATTATTTTTACAAAAATTTTTTCCATTTTCCATTTTTTGTACTTTAGAGTTACTGCTTTTGCTTTCCTTTGTATTGTAAGGAAAATTAATCATTAGATTCAAGATTCTATTGCCCCCGTCATGGAAAAACAACACATTTATGTTTAGAGCATCAAAACACAGCTGTATTGTTGTAAAGTGTAAAATCAAGGTGCAAAAGCCCATAAATAACCCCTCTAGGATTAGGTATGTTAACTTCATATGAGCTGGATATGCAAATATTTCAGATAAATAGCACCATCTGCTGACAGATACTAGTTTAGTGTGCTTTACTTTGTATTATTCAGATATAATTCCTTACACATAAAAAACATATTCAAAGCCATCTTCTAGGAACATGTAGTCATTCCAAAATTAATAACATAATTCTTACCTGTGTACTTGACCAGTGTCCTCCCAGTGGAGATCTCCCACAGCTTGACCACAGAGTCCTTGCCACTGGATAGGATGTACTTTGAGTTCTTGGAGAAGATGGCAGAGCAGACTTCAGCTCCATCATGAGCCTTCTCAAAAGTGGTGACACAGCGGTTGGAGACGCCGTCCCAGAGTTTGATGCTGCCGTCTTTGCTGCAGGACACGTAGCTGTTGGCTGTGGGGTTGTAGCTGACGCCGCTGATAGTGTCAGTGTGCTGGTCCAGGGGATTACACGACACAAAGCACTGGAATGTGTTGGAATCGTATAGACGCAGTGTGGGGTGCTGTGTTCCCACCAGCAGGAAGTCTCCAGAGGGATGAAACGAGATTGCACGTAGCATTTCAGCTTCCTAGACCCAGTCAGAGATGAAGACAAAACCCAATGAACCTACTGGTTTATATTACCATTTATTATGATTTTGGGGAAAAGTGTTTGCTATAACAAATAAAGAAATAAAAGGATGAGGGTACCTGTACATATTTAAAGGCTCTTTTTGCTGAGGGCTTTGAATAGTCAAACAGTTTCAGGGTGTAGTCTCTTGATCCAGAAGCTAGGATCTGCTCTGTGGGATGGAAGGCCAAGCATGTGACTTCATCCACGTGGTCATACAGTGTCCTGATTACAGGGTGGTTCTCCATGTTCTGCTGGGCTGTTTCATTCATCATTATCTGCCATGAGGGAAATAAAATGTTAAATTGATATCACATTAAGTACATACAGACGTGGACAAAATTGTTGGTACCCCTCTGACAATGAAAGAAAAATCAACAATAATCACTGAAATAACTTCTAACTGATAAAAGCAAAAATAAAAACTCACTGAAAAATGTCCAATAAAAATTAAACAGTTTTTCCACCTGTGGTTCAACAGAATCATTAGAAAAAACAAAATAATGAAACTGGCCTGGACAAAAATGATGGTACCCTTAACTTAACATTTTGTTGCACAACCTTTTGAGGCAAACTCTGCAAGCAGACAATTTCTGTAACTGTCAATGAGACTTCTGCTCTGGTCAACAGGTATTTTGACCCATTTCTCGTGAGCAAACTGCTCTAGTTGTCTCAGGTTTGAAGGATTCCTTCTCCAGACAGCATGTTTCAGCTCATTTCACAGACATTCAATAGGATTGAGATCTGGGCTCACAGACCGCTGCAGAACAATCCGATGTTTTGTTCTTATCCATTCTTGAGTGTTTTTAGCTGTGTGTTTTGGGTCATTATCCTGTTGGAAGTCCCATGACCTATGACTGAGACCAAGCTTTCTGACACTAGGCAACACATTTCATTCCAAAATATCTTGATAGTTTTGAGATTTCGTTGTACCTTGCAAAGATTCATTACACCATGTGCCAGATGCAGCAAAACAGCCCCAGAACAAAACCAAGCCTCCTCCGTGCTTCACAGTAAGGACAGTGTTCTTTTCTTGGTCTGCTTCATTTTTGCCTCTGTGAACATAGAGCTAATGTGTATTGCAAAAGAGCTCTAGTTTTATCTCATCTGGCCAAAAGACATTCATGCAGAAGCTTTGTGGCTTGTCAATATGTATTGTGACAAATTCCAGTCTCACTTTTTTATGATTTGCTCTGGGCAGTGGTGTCCTCACATGAAGTCCACTTTGGCTCAAACAGTAACGGATGGTGTGATCTGACACTGATGTACCTTGCCCTTCAACTTCACATTTAATTTGTTTGGAGGTTGTTCTGGTCTCTTTGGTTACCCTCCGTATGATCCATCTCTTTAATTTGTGATACATTTTTCTCTTGCAGCCACATGCAGGGAGGTTGGCTATAGTCCTGTGAACCTCAAACTTCTGAAGAACATGTGTAACTGTAATCACAGGAACATCAAACTGCTTGGCGACGGTCTTATTATCTTTAACCTTTAACCTTTAACCTGCTTGTCTATCATTTTCTTTCTAGTCTCCTGACATAGTTCTCTTCTTCACTTTGGGCAGACTGACTGAGGACAAGTTTGAAGACACCTGTGATGCAGATTAGAGACACACCTAAGTTGAACATGTCCCTATTGTTCAGTTACTTACAACCTTTTCTAGGGGTACCATCATTTTTATCCAGGCCAGTTTCATTAGATTTTTTTTTTTTTTATATATAATTCTGTTGAACAACAATTCAAAAGCAGTGTCTGATTTTCATTGATTATTTTCCAGGATTTTTAAAATTTATTATTGCTTTTCTTAGTTTCAAGTTATTTCAGTGAAAAATTTAGATTTTTCTTTCATTGCCAGAGGGGTACCAACAATTTTGTCCACGATTGTACATGTTCCTGAATTGTCAACCAAAAATCAACCATTAGGATAACGTATATAATGCATTTCTGAAACTACTGTTATAGTCAGGCCAATATAAAATGTCATCTTAAAAAGGTAACTTTCTGGAGGTGGCACGTCTCCTGCATGATTCCATGGAAACAAAAAGTTAAAACCATACTTCAGAAGATTCTTCATGGAGATAGACACATTATATGCCATATTGTGGGCGATATAGCTAAAGGAACAAATAGAGTCCGGTTTGTGGAGATGCAAGCCCGCTCAGAGTAAGAAGTCAGTGGAATAAACACAACCAAAATGAAAAAAGAAAAAAAGTGTAATTTTTTGGCTTACAGCCACAGTTACATACACAGTTGTGCATACTTCAATAAAAATAGAAAATATTGCTTGATTATCAGTGAGTGTGTGTGGTCAACAGAGCTCTACACATGTTGTAGAAATCCTTGTGTATTATCCCACAACAGTGCATCCTTCGTCCTATTTTAAGTAATGTTTTGAAGATAACAGCAAATAAACTCTAACAAAACTATGTATGTTTGCCAAGTTGTAATGTTACTTAATCTATTTTTTAACACTTAAGTAACTGTGTAGAGCATCATTACACTCTCTCACCTCTATGGGCATGGCACTTTTGGCCAGCATGCGTTCTGTGTCCAAGATCTTGATGGAAGCGTCTGCAGAGCCTGTTGCGATCAGCTGTCCATCACGGCTGTATGTGGCCACTCGACACGGTCCTTTGTGTGATGTGACATAACACGTCTCATACTCGGATGCCTCGGGAGACATGGTCTGCACATCCGCGTCAAACTCCAGGTCAATGCCCACTCCTGGGGCCACTGTGTCAGATCGGCCAATGGCATACTGAACTGCACTGTCATCATTCTCCAGCCCTGGGGCAAATGCAGAATATATTGCTTGTGATTTTTTGCTTCACTGATACAATAAGCAAATACAAAACAAGCAAATGTTAAGATCATACCCATTTTGGCCAGTTGCATGAGCTGCTCAGATGGAGACACAACGCTCTGTGGTTTGACTTCGGTGATGAGACTGTTGGCAATGTTGGTGTAGCCATCGTAAAGCAGTTGGCTTATTATAAGTCTATACAGGTGTTGTCGGTCTTTCAAGGTTGGTTTGGGACGAAACATGTTGACACACACGAATAGGTAGCCTCAGGCCGAAATGTCTGCAAAAAAAAAACAGCGTTAGCACAAGCGATTCAAGACAAACACGTATTACATGCAAATACATAGTCAAACGTTTACTTGCAGGATATATTCCGATATAAATGTAGCTTGCTTGCTTGCTTTAAGCCTCGTAGCAGAATTAGCTTAAACGTAGCTAAGCTAATAGTGATGGAGAATGAATGGGACTCATGCTAATCAAGCTAGCGGTATGGTTACAATAGCAAAGAACTGTGCAATTTGATACAGCAGTTTGGTGTCTGAAGTATTGGCTGACAATACTTCAGACAGCATACTCTGCATACACACCTTAAAGAAATGAAGTTTACAGTCACAGAAAAGTAATGACTGTTCAAGGCGATGAAGCCCAAAGTTTTGGTGGTGCTCCCAGGCGTCCACGCGCGTGACGTTAGACGCAATTTTACGTGTTACGTCACAATACGCGCTTTAAGAGAGCGAAAAAAGCATGGCTCAAAAAATAAAATAAAATAAAATAAATTAATAAATTAATAAAAAAAAAAAAAAAAAAAAAAAAAGCATGGCTCTAAAATAAGAAAAGACATCAAAGCAATGCTTATTGGTGATGTTTTACAAACGTAGTACCTTCTAACTTAATGATACATGGCCTAATTGAACATAACCAATGCTGATCTTTCACATTAGACTGTTTGATAGGGGTGGAACTTCCCAAACGTACCATATGATTTACTGTACAATCCTTTGAACTGACAACATATCATTTGAATTGAGAATTGAACCACTTTAACATTATGAGGCCATTTGTGTAAAAATAATGGTTGCAAACTCAGACAAAAACACACAAACAAAACAAAAACATTACATTGTGAAATATAATTTTTTATTGTTTTGTGCCGTTTGCTTGCTTGCAAAATTACCTACCACTACTTACCGCTACTTCATTTTGGTGCTAGCCTAAATAATAATTTTTTTCTATAATTTTTTTCACTTAATTCTCAAAAATATCCTTTCTTCAGGCCTATTACTCACACTATTTCTTAAAACTTTTCTTTTAATTATCATTACTGAATTAATAATGCCACATTTTAATGAAATTGTGTTTCAGGATTTAATGTGTGACTGAACTTACCCAGTGGCTTATCTTACCCTATTCTCATGTCAAAGATCTACAGCATAAATTCATTATAGCGAGGGCAGTCATTCCAGGCTTCTAAAATCATCAGAACAAAGCCGTTGATGAGCATGTGAAGATGGGATGACACTGTAGCGTTTCATTGCCCACCCACGCACAGTCTCACAGCCACCACGTCCTGCAATGTGTGTTATCAGTTTAAATATGGCCAACCATCAGATGTATTCACAGCTATTCCATAGCAACACCAATGAATCAGCCTAAATTATTTGCTATTCTTGTTTTCAAATGCAAAAAGAATCCAACAGCATTAATACAGTATGACAAAGACTTAAGTGGGTGGCGTGGAGATCAGTGCAAAACAGGCCTATTTACAGAACTGGTAATGCTCAAATGGACTTCTCATTCTCAATACCCTCATGCATTTATAAGTTATAATTTTTGATATATTGTTTCTAATCTCAAGAAAACTGCTTTTGTCCTTGAACACAACAATGCAAAGATTACTTCCATCCTGTAATGCTGTGTATTGAGATTGGAAATGTGTGTGATAGGAGGTGTCCTGTTGTCATGACGACACACAGAGACAAAGCATGCTCTCAGAGGAGCCGCTTTCTGTTGCTGTGGAGATGAGCAGAGTTAGACCAAAGGAATGATGCACTGAATTCAGTTTTTGCAAAATACTGTTTGAAGGTGTGATTAATTATTATACTTATTATAAATCTTTTTTTTTTTTTTTTTTTTTTTTTCCACTTAGATGCATTTGGCAAGTTTTATTGTGGACCCTTCTGCACCACATCTGTGGTCTATTATTACAATAATATTATATTATAACTAGCAAGTACGGTACTGACTTTAACAGTTTATGATATTCACTGGTTTCCATGTTCTTGCTGGTTGGTTAATGTGATGCAGAAGATTTTTTAATCTGAGTGAAAACTTTTTTCATATGATTACTACTATTTTTTGTGATCTATACCCACTTGGTGCTGTAGTGAGCTATAAAAGAAGGGCACATATGAAGTGACAGATTAACAGAGAGCAACAGCAAAGCATGATACTGAAAGAAAAACAGTGAGGGAAAAATCTAAAATGTGCGAGCTGGTCCCATATTGTAATAATGAAAGTGGTCTAGGGGAAGTGGGGTGCATTTGTTGTTTGACAGAGTGAAAGCCCATATATCTGCGTGCTGTGTGATGCCCCCTGCACATGTGGGTGTATGAACAGTGTGTGGGAGGTAGGAGGTGTGTGTACATAACTGTAACACAGAGATGATTTACAATATGTGGGACTGAACATTCATCTAATGCTTGATTTTATGTGCCAAAGTGTTATGCAGCTGCAATCAATTTGTTTCTGTGTTTTTTCTGGTGCTATTTGTAAAACACACAATGTCCACAGCACACATTGTTGTTTATTTGGAGAAAGAAAGGATGTCTGTGAAACAGTAACAATATTCAGCGTTTGCATTTATAAGGCAAAATATGATTCATAAAATGTTCCACACCCTTACATAGGCAGAGAAAGAAGGGGAAGCTGATCTCCATCTCACTGGTCTACTGAACTAGATCTACTGACTACAAGTCATAAAAAGAGGAGGTCACAGCGTGCACACAGAACACAGATGAGTATAGTGAAAGACAACATGGCAATACATAAATAAGTAAGTAAGCAGATAAGCAAGTAAATAAATAATATAACATAGTATTGTCTTTTCTAGATACCATGTACATAGGGGTGTTGTTCTATATAAAGTTCTGCACTATTACATTGCAAAACAGGATGCATGTTCTGGATTGTCTAAACAATAGCACTACAACTTTAAGTTTTGAAAGCGGAAATTCAAAACATTTGTGAAAATGTTTTATTTTATTAACATAATAAATAAACCTATACCTGTTTACATTTATTTTAAAAAGTCATAAATTTGCAAAGGAACAGCAATGTTTGAAAATGTAGAAGCTCTAGTACAAACACCCCAGAACCAATCCAATTCAAGAACCTTAGTTCTGAATTACAGTTTATTCAGTTAAACCAATTATTTAAAATGTATTTCATAATGAAACAAAAACATGGTGTTATCTTCATTAATATATGCCTCTTTTACCCATGCTTGCAACCATGCACAAGTATGTTTACTTATGGTTTAGTTCACATTTGAGTAGTCTCTTAACTTTTCATTCAGGCCATTCCATAATTTGACACCACACTCTGATACACAAATACATGTCAGGGCCTTCCTGTGTTCTCTCTCATTGCTGCTCATCACTGTGTTCAACTTGTTCTCCGGAAGTCTTTGTTTGACAACTAACCACCCACCCACGAGGCAGCCTAGCGCCCAGCCTGCTTCTGCCTCCTCCTCTCTGCCTCGCAACCTTCACTGTGCATCTTCCCTCACATTTGCATTTGTTCTCCTTCCTCATGTCGTGTCACGGAGCTGCAGTCTGACTGAGGGGAATGAAACGGCCTGGAGGGAATATAAGACCAATGGCGCTGTTTCGGGACTGTGTGCTTGGACATGGTTAAAAGGTAAGGAATAATTTAAACTTATTATTATTTAAGTTGCTTCATGTGAGTATGATGAAATTGGATAAGTCAAACTATCCTCCCAAAATGTAAAACTGATGACAACAACAGCTAACAATATATAAAAAAGGAACCTGTTATGACATTGGCTACAATTATAACTTAAACTTACAAACTTTACTCACACAAATATAGAGTAGTGGTATTAATGCTTTATAATGGTCAAAATTTTTGCATAGCACATGTATAGCATAGCACTGTGGTATATTTACATAGTTAAGAGGAAGTGAAAAGAAGCTTACACTGAGAGGGAACAATGACTGAAAGGTAACTGCTTATTGATGTAGCCAATATCAGAAAGTTTTATGCAAGTGTCAAAGTGGCAGTGATTCTACAGGTGGTGCAGAAAGGGAACACACCATAACCACGAGCATTTGAAAGTCTAGCACACCAACAGGAAATATGCAGCCCACAATTTCATTTCTACATACACATATATGATTATGCAACACAATGTACTGCACAGAGCTGTTGTTATTATTATAAAAGCTTCTCATGACCACTTTGTAACAATGTACATAGAGGCAACCTTATTTGTTGTATGCAATTTGATAACTTTAGTAACTTTAGATCAAATGTTATTTACCTACTTCAACATTACTTTCAACTGTCAATAACTATTTTTAAAGCAAGCCAGGCTTCCTTGAATCCATGCTTTTAGTTACTGTAATTTTGTTGATAGGTAACAATCTTGTATTATTTAACTGAAATGATAGTGTATCGGATTACTAAGAACTAACAACTAGCAAGGTGAAGAGTAAGTGATTTTGTGCAGTAATTTTCATTATTTGTTCACAGTGAGTGAGTCTGAGAAAATGTGATATAAAATTCATTTTCAATTCATATTTTTACTGTGTTGTCTTGTTGGAAACAAAAAAAAGTATATATTTTTTCAAACATTATATATTTCTACAGAAATACCTGAACTGAGCAGTTGTAAATCGTGATAAAGTCGAGGTCTGACATAAACTGTTCTTCTCTTCCAGGTAATTAGAGAGCAGGCTCTGGTGCATCACGACAGCAGCCCTGTTACCATGGAGACTGGTAAGCCTGAATTGGCGAGTGCTGCTCACATGAGCTCAGTGGTAGCGCAGACGGAGCGGAGGATGGAGATACAGGCCCCTCTCACGGCTGTGTACATCCACACAGTGCCTGCTCTGCCCTCTCACCCACTCCCCCAGCCTCCTCTTGCTGTTGCGGACCCCAGCGCTCTGCACCTGACCATGCCACCGCTTTACTCCAAGGAGACGCTGCCTTTCCTAACGCTACATATCGCTAGCGGACTTCAGCCAGGACTGAGCGTAACAGCCTCCCCCCCTGCAGCCAAACCCAAATCAGCAGGAAAACACTTGTGTCCTCATTGTGGACGGGACTGTATGAAGCCCAGTGTGCTGGAGAAGCACGTCCGATGTCACACTGGGGAGAGGCCATACCCATGCACGGTCTGTGGAGTGTCTTTTAAAACTCAGAGCAATCTCTACAAGCACAAGCGCACCCAGGCTCATGCACGACTGTCATCCGAGTCTGAGCACAGCACCCAGGGCAGTATGGGCAGCACGGACAGCTTGTCCCGCTCAACAGAGACTACCAGTTTATCTGTGGACGAGCGAAGTGATGAGTGTATCGGAGCAGAGAGGGATGCCAATTTGGATACTGAAAAGACACCTGTTGTCACCCAAACATTGGAGATAAATGAAAAAAGTTTAAGTTCAAAGGGACAAGAACAAGCTAAGCTCTTGCAACCAGGTGACAAACCAACCACAGAGCGCCCTCCTTCATCAAACCGCCATGTTGTCCTTCAGAGACAAGAAGCAACTCTGTTTTCCAAACAGTGGGGGAGCTCCATGTCTAGCAGCAAATCCCAAAGCCATGAGAGCACTGACTCAGGCTTCAGTGAGAGCAGTGAGCACTACCCTAGCCCAGGGAGTTTGCTACCGGACCACAGCATGGACTCCTTAACTGAGACCACAGCAGAGCATGGTGAGGAATCCGCCAACCAAAAACAGGAAGATAAAAATGCCATAAAGGAACAGGAGAATACGAGCCTGGAGGAGCGCATAACCAAACTGATTTCACAGAATAGTGCTGTAGTGGAGGATAAACATCTGGAAAACGTAAGGCCTCGAAAGACAGCACTCTCTAAGCAAGGCAGCATTGACCTTCCTATGCCGTACACGTACAAAGACTCTTTCCATTTTGATATGAGGATTAATAAAATGTCAAACACTCAAAGAAATAGAAGACCTGGTTTGTACAACTCTGTTCCAACACAGCAGTCTTCATCAGTAGAGCATGCACCGCTTACTAGAAGCAACTCCTTGCCCTTCAGTGTGAACCTCTTGCAGCCAGACCAGAGCAGTCCAACCTCCTCCTCCTATCCTCAAGATTACACAACACTTTTCAGACGAGGAAGCTCAGGCCAGATAAATCCAACAAGTTTCTCTATGAAGTCTGTGAACCAGCAATCGTCCACCCACTGGCCCTTGGTTCGCCAAGCTGCCGTAGACTGCAACCACGCAACAGACGCTCTCTGCAAGAACTCATCTGTAGAAGAGGCGTGCACTGGCAGTCTCTCATGCCAAGGTGAGGCTGGTGATATTTGTGGAGATATTAGCAGCAGAAAGTTCCGGAGGAAAAAAGCACAGAAATTCGCTTACAACAAGTGGTACATGTATGGAGGTGGAACGTTCAAGAAGTTGTACGAGATGGAGAGAGGTGGTGAGAACAGAGTGGCCAAGGGAACAAAACCTTTACCTAATCCAGAGGTCATTCAGAGTCTACAAAAACGTCTCTCAGCAGGACACTGTGAAACAACTGTAGTGTCAAGCCCTAGCTTAGTCAGAAGTGCAACAATGCACAACCTTGAAACGTATCCTGCCAATCTTCAACTAATACCGAGCTTAAGTTTTAATGCACAAACTCATACACAAAGTCATATTTTAGCATCATCCACCACCCAGAGAATGCCTCTTCGGAGAAATTTATCTTTGTCAGTACTTCCATTGTCTTTTCTTTCTTTGACACCAAACCTAAATATAGATAACAATAAAAGAAGTGAGGCAAGCAATTTAAAAAATCCTTGCTCTGTCTCTCAAAGCCAAGTGAATGTTCCCTCTGACAGAAAGAAACAAAAAACTGATGAGAAACTATGCCCCCGGGGGATGGAGACTGAGCAAAGCCTTCCTCAGCCACAACTCAACAAAATAAACATTCAACCAAATTCTACGCAAGTGCCACTTTTTCCAACAAATACAATCAGTATAAATGCACTACCTGTTACCAACTCACCAGCTACATCTGGTACCACTGCTGCTCAGAACAGCTTTATGCCCAAGTACCAGCTTAAGCTTCCTAATTCTCAGGAGTCCGATTCTAGTTCAACAATACAGGTTGGATCTAAACTGACACAAAATCACACTGCCTCTGTATCTACATCTGCATCTACAGTGACAACTACAGAGTCTAAGAAATCAGACACTTTAATTTGGACTCATCAGAATATCACATCTAATTGCAGTTCCTTACTAAGCCAATCTATGCCATGCACTGCCAGCCATATGAATGTCATTTCTCCATTGGTCCATCAGTGCCCCATGGCAGACACAAAAACCACCTGCAGTTTACGGAATTCCAATGCAGGGCTATTCAGTACAACAATACAATCCTCCCCTTTTGGAGCTATAGTTCCAACAACTACAAAAAATAGTCCTGTCTCTTTCACTCCCATCCACAGAACGCAATCATCTCCGGCTGCTTTTACTGCTTTTGTACCAACACAACAACATGAAGCACCACAGAAAAATTCCCCATTGTCTCTGCAACCACAATCTGCACTCAACCCCGACACGAACACCCCGGTAGTACCATGCCAACTAGTGCCTGGGGAGCAAACTGTGCCAAATGTGTTTCATGTTCAAACACCAGATCTTCAAATATGTTTTCAAATCATATCTGATGAGCAGTTGGCACTCATCGAACCACAGATTGAAAAGGAAACAGGTAGCAAGCACGTGCCGACAGAACAAATGCATGCTGTGACAGAGGGTGTGAAAACCAGCACAACAGTGGAAAGTACTGATAAACAAACCAGTCATAGTCATCATTTGTCAAACAAGGAAGTGGACACGCTAAGCAAGGATAGCGCTAAGCCTTCAATATGTGATAAATCTGAAAAAGAGCGGCCAGCTGTCCACATGAGTCAACCCATTGGTCAGCCTCCAGCCTTGTCCACACACCCACACATTTGCAGCCAAGTAAACAAGGTCGCAAAGGATGGAAAGGAGGAGGTATCTGCAGTCACCCCACTCAAAGAAAACATTTTGGAAATAAGTAAAATTACTCCAAAAAATCTGTTTTGCAAAGTTGCTGCACAGGATCGTCACTTGTCAGAAGCAGAGAAAAGTAGGGGTGAGCTAGTCTCACACACACCTCATGAGAACAATAGAAGGTCTGCAACTGTCACTTGTACTCCAATTAGTCCAGTAAACAGTGGAGAGCGTAAATGTGAGGAAAATCATACAAAGTTTACAAATAAAGATCTGTGTTTTAGAAATTCAAATGAAACAGTCACCAGAACCAATCTTCAACTCTCCATGGTATCCCTCAGTCTATCTCAAACTAACCAAATTTCTGACAAGATGGGACTTTCAGATGGGCCGGCACTGGCACATGAAGCTGAGTTTAAACAGAACACCTCTGTAACTCCAGTGTCCACTGAAGATGCCAAAGCAGCTGCTGCAAATGTTCCAGACCTTTCCACAGGTAAATATCAATATGTGTTCATTTTTACATATTTTCAGAAAATGTCCACACATTACACGATGAAACACATTCAGACAATACTTTTTTTTCTATTTACCAAAATCAACACATTCATTAATTAAAATGAGGATTAAAACATATTTTTCAAATTAGATAAGGTTACTCAATTCTTTCTTCATAATAGGCTAATCATAGTATTTTCCTCCGCTGTTGTGGGAGGCTCCAGTGAGTTTGTAGTGTGTTCACAGATGTGTATGTATCGCACAACATTAAACACAAGGTGGCAGCAAGTAACAGTTTACATCACCCTTTTATAAGGTAGTAACTATGGATCTATCCTAAAATCTGTGACAGCACCAGGCTAAAGATAGTATTAGTGATATTCCATTAACCACTGAGTGACAGCAGATCATAATGAAAGCAAAATACCATATAGATTTTAAATAATATATATTTCTGTCACAGTCTTTAACATTGTTTTATTGAAAATTAAATATTTTAGTCTGTTGTGTGTTATGTGTTAAAAATACAATCAGTTAAACCAGTATGAAAGGAGGAAACTGCATAGACTACTTTTAGCTGGTAATAGCTTACTAATGGCCCTGTACTCTCTTTACAAAAGCCTATAAAACAAATAATGGTTAAAGCTAAGTCCCATGGTGAATTTAATATCCATGAGGTAAGGGGAGTGTGATGGGTCTCTTGGCCCCAGATAATCACAGCAATGTGCAACTTTAAAGTCAGTGAAGGTGCAGATTAAGTTAAAACAGAGTGAAAGTCATGTCAGAGCTGACTCTGGGCCCTGGCCCTTTGCCCTCTGTAACCTTAAGAGAAAATTAACACAAAATGTTCCCTCCCACACAGGACTGCAAATGTGTGTTCATCCTGAACATGTGTGTATCTGCTTTTGTTTTAGGTTTTGTTTGATCAGGGGTGTCTAATCCTGCAGAGGGCCAAATATTGAAACATGTGGGGACAGTGGATCATTTAGATGGATTCATTTAACACCCATCTCTTCCATATCCACAGGGCTTGAGGAGGGAGGCTCTGCTGTCAGATGTGTGGAGCCACAGTCACACACTGGGACCCCTGAGCTGCAGCAGCCTGAGCAGAGCCAAGAGCCTCCACAGGCAGACAGAGAGGGCTTCACTTATAGTCAGCTGGACTCTCAGGTGAGTTTTCTCATGAACTGCCCTGCCTCACTGGTGTGTGTGTTTTTTTTTTAAAGAAGTCCTAACTTTTTCACTTTTTCATTTTTGATATACAGACAGTTGTATTATGTGTAACTGTTAACACACAATTCATTAAATCAAACAGGGTGCCCAATGGCCACATAGCGAAACTACATGACCCTATGGGCTTCTGCCAACACTCAAACAATGTTTTTGCTAACAGAGAGTAGCAGCCGACAGTGGCCCCTTTGTCATAACTGCTTGATGTGTTTTATATTTTGTGATGCACCATTATTCTGGTATGTGGTGGAGTTATCTTACAGAATGCATTTTGGAGTGATACACAATGTCTGATTGTGTTGGTCTCTCAGTAATGGTTGTTTTTTTATTAGCAGGTACAAGAGGCCACTGCCAGGGTGGATTCCTTTCCAAATGGATGGCTATCAGGTCAGCAGTGTCTTCAGCATCTTTCCCAGACACAATCAGGAATATGTGGGTGCCCTCCACAGAGTCCTGGCACAGTCCCAAATCTACAGTCCAGCAGCGTAACAGCAAACACTGACTTCTGCAATCTCCCACCAACATCTCTGGTAAAGACTAACTCCTATGTGCAGCACATGGGAATCGTCTCTGTTTTAAGTCAACCAAATAAAGCTCCCCAGAATAAGACTGTTTTGGAGGTAGGACTTCAGGAAGCTGGACAGTTTCAGCAACAAGACCAAAGACAAGATAGTGGAGCTGACAATGCCATGATAAACTCTACAACTCACATGATTACAGCCTATATGTCTCAAAGCCATACAAACGAACCAAGAGAATCGTATCTGCCCAATAGCTCTGTATATGTTCAGACGTCAAGGCAGGCAAATACAGCTTTCTCTGAGCACCTATGCCAGGACAAGCCACCTCTGCCATGTGACAAGTTCCCTCTTTTGTTTGGGATGGGTCACTCGTTTAGTTACCCCCCGGCTGACACTCTGAGTGGGGCAGTGCGGGTGGTGCAGAGTAGTATGGAAGCGGAGGACAGCAGCAGTGATGATGAAGGGAAGCTGATCATTGAGCTGTAGGAAATGACAATCAAGTAGTTTTTATTTATTCACAGGCCCATGAGGCAGATATTTTGCATTCTGTAAGCCTTATATTTGGGTCTAGAACACAAATGTCACAAATTAATGAAACATTTTCCAAAGAAATTATGTTGACTATTTAATTTGAGTTTTAGGAACAGTGTTCTAACCAGTATTGATACTTTGCAGCTGATGAAATCAACATTGCTCTGTCTGACGCTCTGTTATTCGTGTTAGATTTTGGTCTGAGCTTAATTGTAATACAATCTGACCATACAGAGCTGACTAAAGTTAGAACAATCAGGTGATTTTGTACTGTTAAACAAGTCCTTCTCAAATAATGTCACAGTTACAGGCTAGCAACAGTTTTCAGTTCACAACTTTCACACGAATACTTGTTTTGGATCACAGGCTCCTGAAAAAGTAAATTTTTTTTTCTTGAGTTTTCAGACTATCTTAAAACTTCTGCTTGCTAATTTGTGTATTACGTCACCATGAACATTCCACTCTACACATATATACAGAACACCCCCAGCATGATGTCACTGCAAAGTATCAATTGTCCTATATAGGCCTATCATTTTTGGTTTTAACTTTATCAGTGTTTCCGGTTCTTTTTATTCTAAATTGGACCTGTATTTTATTTTTGTACAGAGTATTCACATTCAGTCAAATGTCAAAAGTAATTTTATTATCAAAGGTAGTACACTGTTGCATTATTGTTATTTTACACAATGTCATTTCCTCCTTCGGGTCTTCTGTACATGATTAATTTATAAAGCTAATTATTATGATGTTTTGTTTACTGAAATAAATATCATCATACAGTCTCCTTTTTTGCCTGGATATTTTTTCAATTTAAGATTTGGTTCATCCAGTGGTGCGGTGAGTTGGGTAAAGTACCACTCACCAAAAGCTTGAGATGTTTGATTCTGTCAGTGTACTGTGCATGGTTTAGAGTCAAACAGATGAAAAACTCCATAAATCTGTTTAGACAAAGTTAGCGATGAATATATTTGGGGCATTTACTGAGATAAGACATTTAAATGACGTAATTCTCACTGTTATTGTAAATCTGTCGGCACTGTCTACAGTCAGACATCATTTGGATAATAATAACGTGCGTCCTGCCCACTCGCCCTTATAAATATCCATAAATAGTCTTGAAGAACAGTGCAAACTCTTGTGGGACACACCTGTGAGACTGAGTCAGGAGAGGCTGTGTGTCTAATCACTCCAACACAGCACCTCAGGCAGAGTGACTACAAGTGGGATGTAATGGGTTACATGTCTTGATTATTCTGTTTAAAATTAGCTTTAGTTGTAAAATGTAAAGTATTTTGTTTATTATTCATCTACAAACATAACCACCTCAGCGATAAACAAATCCAATATTAAAGGTTCTATATTGCATAAAATAGATTCTTGTGAACTTTAAGTCAGATTATAATGTTGTTACCTCATTAAATCCAAACCTGGAGTTGTGTTTTGGTTTGCAGTTTTTATTTTTTATTTATTTATTTTATTGTAAACGTCTGTTTCTCACTGGCTTTTATTTTGTAAAAGTCCACCGCGAGCGTTTCTTTAAGTTTGACGTCTTTTCTTTACACTTTTTTCACTTTTTTCAGACCATGTGAGATGCAACGTGCCCGAGCCTCCGCGAGCCGCGGCTCCGGTCGCGGGCACCGGCCCTGGCCGGACCAGCCGTGCGCTCTGAGCTGAGCTTATTTCTTGAGTTCAGTGCTGGAGTAACTGATTTACCCAGATACCATTGGAAGAAAAATGTGATTGGTCCATTTCCATTCCATTATATTAACCCTTTGTTTCCTAAGAAATATCAGTCCAAGTTTATAACACTGATCTAGAAATTATTACTAGTGTAGAGTTCATTACTCAGCATAAAAAAATATTCAATAAATATATTAGTAGTACAAACGTCCATTCAATATTTTTTCTTGAGCCTTCCCTGAATACCTTGAAGGCTCTGAGGTTCCCCTGTGAAAGAAATGCTGTTTGCACATCAAATGTATGACTCTTTTATTTACATTTCCAATAAAAGAGCGCTATACTCTACTTTTTAATTCATTAATTGGTTTTGCGTATAACATACGATTAATCGCGATTAATTGCGATTAATCACTCGAACTCATGCGATTAATCGCGATTTTAATTTTTTTAAATTTTTGCCCAGCCCTAGTTTTGTTTCATTCACACATGTTTGAGTAACCTTTTATTATTTGTCTGCCCATATGAAAAAGTTATAGACAAATCATACACCATTTGAACATGTTTTATCTGAATCCTAAAAGATTTGTATATGGCAGTGAAAACACTTACAAGATCTTTGGTAAATATGTGCAGCATGAAACATATAAAACTATGTAACCTGCAAAGCCTGAATATGACACTGATCCCACACACAATCTCCTCACAAGTGTTGGAGAAAAGTCATTTTTACCACAGAATCATAGAAAAACAAGTGAAATGATGATTGTTTCCTTAAACTTGATTGCTGTGTGTGTGTGTGCGCGCGCGTGTGTGCGTGTGTGTGTGTGTGTGTTTGTGTGTGTGTGTGTGTTTGTGTGTGTGTGTGCGCGTATGTGTTTGCGTGTGTGTTTGCGTGTGTCTGTGTTTGTGTGTGTGTGTGTGTCTGTGTTTGTGTGTGTGTGCGTGTGTGTGTGTGTGTGTGTTGGGCAGTATGGCGTAAACACAGTAATACAAATATTGCATTAAAACCTTAAAAAACATCTTCCACTGATATCACAGTGAACAAACATCAGGCTGTAAAAATATTTTTACTCTGCAAAATCCTAATTATTACAAAGGTCTATATTGACTTGTAATATTCCAAAAAGCAGCTATACACTTATGTTTTTGTCAAATGCCTCAACTGACAAGACGTCATATCACTTACAAATACTGAAGTACTTGTAATTGTCCTCAATATCTGCTATTGTTCCTTCTAGAGTCAGTAGTTAGTTAGTTCAGTTGGTGAGTCACTGGATCCACATGGGAGACCTGTGTTCAAATCCCCCTTCAGACTCTGATTGTTTTTTCTGCAACATATAATTAAAGAATACAAACATTACATGGAACATACAAAGAAAATGTAGTTTATCATGCACATTACCTGTAAATGTTCTGCAAAATGTTCACTTTATCTTTACTAGTTTTTCATAATATAGTTGTATGAGAAAAATACAAAAGGGGGACACTTTCAGGAGGAAACCACACATGACACATATTAACCTTATATACAGATTTACTACAAAGACACTGGTAAATTCTTATATTTTTTTTCCAATTTTTTTCCATATAGGTGTCTACTGTCTACATCTCCCAAGCTCACAATGCTCAGTTCCACCTTGTTCAAGTTAATAGCTGCCTTTTACTTTTTGTTTTCATAGAGATTGGAAATTCCAGGGCTGAAATTATCCAAACGATTCTAGATAGATCTGAAAACAGCATAATATTGGCCCTTTATTTTTTTTTATTGACTCAAAAATGATTAGACAAATGTGTGTTCGTAAATCACAAACGCAACTTAACATTTGTGTGAAGTTGTGACGTAATTCTGAAATTTGTATTTGTTTTCATTTACATTTTATTGGTGTTGATGTTCAGAGCTACAGGCCAGTTTTATAGACAGTGGCAGTATAGCTATGCCTGAGCTCTGCCCTGCAGTAATTAAATTGAGAAAAATAAACCCTTGACGAAGAGGAGATTTATTATTCAGTAGATTTCTTGTATGCGAAATTGATGGATGAGAAAATTGATACAAGACTCTAAACCTGCGTGAGACTATGACAAGAATGAGTTGCAAATTCCACAGCTGGTGTACACTGACAGATTGTATAAACTCACTCACTCACTGCTAATTCTTCTGTCATGGTCAATTCTTTAAAATGGTCTGCTTTCAGTTCAACAACACTTCATGTAGTCTCGACACTACACTACACAGGATTTATCATTCAGGTCTGTACCACATTCTCAGTCAGTAACGTTACTTCCAAACAATGTCATGCAAGTAGATGTATAAAGCTGTGGTCCAAGAAATTACTCAAGTAAAAGTGACAAGTATTTGGCAAAAGTATTACTCAAGTAAGAGTAACCTAATGCAATTAGAAGGACAAAAACATGAAATAAGGCAGACATTCTGGTATTTTCAAAGGATAAATGGTCATGGTAAATGGTTACATTTTTATATAGCACTTTTCCAGCTTCATGGCACTCAAAGCGCTTTACATCAAGGAAGTGCTCATCTATTCACCCACACATATTCATACACCAGTGTACGAAGACACTAGGGGCAAGGTGGGTTAAGCCCAAGGATACAAGAATAGCATCCATCTGTGGGAGCTGGAATTGCACTGCCAACCTGTGGGTCAGAGCATATGATATGATATGGTCAAACGCTCTTACCAACTGAGCTACTGTCCTCATAGATTGACACAAAAATGTGTAAAAAACAAAACAAAACGAAACAAAAAAATAACAACTAAATCATGTGTGAAGAACGGTGCAAGAAAACATGAATGTTCAAATCATCAACAAAGATTTTGCCCTTGCCTACTTACTCACAGGGGAGAGTAACCAAAACTAAAATGAAAGTATTACTCAAGTAGGAGTAAAAGTATGTAGCTAGAAAAGTAAAATTTCTTTCAAAAAAGTCACTCAAATGGATGTAACTCAGCAAATCCAATCCAACTTTATTTGTATAGCACATTTTACCAGCACAAAGTCTCCAAAGTGCTGCAATGAGTAGGCACAATATAAATTAGCACATTAAATAAAATAAAGCATAAAATAAGCAAACAAGTCAATAAAAACATAAAAAATACTAAAATGAGCAAATAGAAAAATAGCAAATAAAATCAATAAAATACAGCCAGTAATGTAACTGCCTCTGACTTCTCTGAGTGATATTCAAGAAAAACGTTAGGGGAAGCAAGTTCTTTGGTCAATGGCTATTTAGTTAAGTTTTGTAACACAGTGTGATCCTGACAAATAAGCTACTGACATTGAGAACAGACGTGGCACAGGATAAGTGGCATTCTTATCTCATCTTGATTACAGTTTTTTTTAATAGTATTATGTTGTTCTTCATCTTGATTTTCTTGTACTTTTGTGATCCTGTATTTTTAGGATCTGAGTTTGTGAGGACTAAGACCAAATCCCCATCCACAAGAAGCACGCCACAACATTGTACAGCTGTGTTTCCACTTCTGTTTTTATTTTATAGGAAACTGGTAATATAACTTAACATATCCTACAGGTTGTGCTATTAGAAAATAGTGTAACTGACATGAGTGCATGAGACTGTGCTTTGGTGGCTGGCAGCCAGCTCAAATAGGAAACATAAATCCTTTTTATCTTCTGTGGAATAACATGCAGTGATAGTTCCTTCTCACTTGGCATGAGATATACAAGGTGCTGTTCAAGAACAAATCTCTAAACTGTGAGCAATGACAGAGCACCTATTTACAAATGATGCAGCTTAGCCCCTGAAAGGATCATTTCCTTTTGCTGTGATCAGAGCTGCAGGGTGGTCTGCAGGGTGGTAGAGATACAGATAGGACGAGAGATTCAAGTTGGTTTAAGAAAGTCACTGTGCTATTACAGCTTCATATAATTTAGCAGACAGGAGTGTGAGTATGACGACAACAGGGTACATGAATGATGCGTACTCTGCAACAGTCAATGTTTATCTTTTTATCCACAAGCACCAAAAATGCTCTAAATAAAGGAAGCATTCTCCCACTCAGTCTTCAACAACAAATACAAACACACACAGCCCACATAGCTAACATAGAGACAGAGACACACAATGGC